AAACAAACTCTCTTGTCTAGACGACAGACGTATTTACGTTATATTACTTCTACACTGGGTGAATGACAATTCAACTGTTAAATCGTGAACACTGATATTCACAACAATTGACTGAATTAACTGAATGGCTACACAAAACATACCTGGAGAAACATTGGAGCAGCGTCAAGGAGCACTCTCCCTGGCTCATCTTGGGGTATATATACCCGAGTTGCCAGTGATCGCTACTCACGCAAGGACAATAATTACAAACAAACTAACTGTTACTCATTCAAAGATGACCCTCAGTTGACAAAGGTCTGGCGAATTACTCGAGTTGATTTACACAGACTAATTCAAGATTGAGCTTCCCAGGAGAAAGTGGAATAACAACGCATTAATAACTGTCTTCACAAAGGCGGGACTCTGGGAGGGAACACAAGTGTAGCGTGTATGGGGAAAAAACACGTCTTCTCAGGGGTCGCTAACTCACTCATGTTTTGCGGGCGTGGAGTTTAATAAGAATCATTAGTTAAATAGATCAGCAGTCAACGTGACCATGACACTAGTTAAGTGCCATGTTTTTCGTTCCGAACTAACAGGGTGTGTTTGATACTATCTTAATTTCGGATCTTGTCGAGTGTGTTATGTAATCATCTGAATTGACAATGAAGTAATATAATGAGTGTGTAATGTTGTCTTCAAGAAATTAATATCTATTTTGCTATGTGTAAAGTAAGACCTAAGTAGTCCAGTCTGGTTCGAGTGTAATTAATTAACATCTCGTTCACTCCATATGTTAATAAATATTAAATTAGTAAACTACGAGTATCACTGCTCTATTCCTCCTACACATTGGTTCTCAGAAAATAATTTTGTAACTCACGTGCCTAAAAGCTCGCTACCTAACAGTTCACCAAGATATGTTATATTCTAATTAAAGTTTGGGTGGTGGCAAGCTACCATTGTAAGTATAGCAAGTGTTATAATAAGAATGACATGGTTTCCCAGACTAATCCATGGTTTAGAATATAACTACCCAGGATGTAATTGAGAGAAAAAAGGACTGAGAATAGAAGAATATTAGTATATAAATATATTGAAGAATAAAAAGAACAAGTATAAGAAATAGAATAAAGAGGAAAACAGGACTCTTACAAATTGGTGACTTAGAAAATATAAGAAAGAATATAAGTATAGAAAAGAAGAATAAATATTAAGTAAGAAAAAGTTCGCTCCTTACAACCAGACCACATCAAAACCAATTATGGTATTTATGAGATTGTGAAATGGAGTACCATCGTACGATATGCTTTCCCATGTGTTGAGGTGGGAGCTTGTCTGTGGCAGGGCCCAGTTGCCAGTCACCATCTGATGCTGGAGTAGTAAAGTCTGCAAGGAACCCGGTCTATTATTCAAACCTCTTACATGGGGCAGTGAGTAGGATGCCAGGGCCCAACACCCCATAACAGCACCCGACAAGAACGGCAACATGGCCCCCACACGTCCACGATTCTCGACGCCAAGGGGACGCCACGGCATCTCGACACTGGTGGGGAACGCCAGGCGCGCCCAGCAGCAGACCATGAGTGCATTGATCATTGATGGCTCAGATGGCGTCTCTAGCTACTGGCGGCCACGGCCATGCTCCTATGCCGGTCATGAAGCCCTTAGCAGAGGTCGCTCCAGAGAAGTGTGAGGCAGAAATGCCAGCAGCTGCGTTTAGGACATGGAGGCGGTCCATGGAGTCATGGGTGCTGTTGAAAGGGTGGCCACAACTGGTGGCCACACTCCACATTCGCCTGAACTGCGTCCCTGCACTCCAAAGGGTGATTGACTCAAGATATCCCAACGGTCAGTGGGAGCAGCTCTCACCCAAGGAAGCCCTGGACGCCATCAGTGGAGTGGTTCTTCAATCGTCAAACCAAGCTGTGAAATGGAATGAGTTTTTCAACAGCAAACAAGGTGAAGAGGAGCCCATGAAAAGGTATTTTCAATGATGCTTCGCAGTGGAGTGTGAATTTAAATGTCCCACCTGTGATAACGACCCGAGTACATGCTATTACGTAAAGTTATGGTGGGCCTGAGTAACCCAGTGTTGAAAAGGGAAATTTTCCAGGGGTACTCGAGCTATAATAGTGTTGAAGTACTTAGAAACAAGTGTGTGTTATTTGAGGCAGCAGTGAGAGATGCTGGTGTATTGTGTCATACGTCTGGCCAGGCAGTGGTGGGAACAACCACGGAGGCAGCGGCGGTTGGTGATGACGTCACGGGCGAGTCTGAGGTAGCTGCCGCCAGACCTGGACACCCCAGTCGAGCGCACTGTGGGAACTGCAGCATGACACATGCCTCCGGCAAAAGTAACTGCCCTGCAAGTGGGGCCACATGTCGCAATTGCTCTAAGGTTGGTCACTTCAAAAGGTGTTGTAGGAGTAAGTCAGTCCTACGTGCTTCTGCGGATGTGTCAGGTGCTGTCACAGTGACAACAGCCCAGCTATCCAGCCACCCCAGGTTACAAGTGTTTATGACCCAGGCTGGGGGCCAATTCCCCTGCCACCCCTGTGCTGGCTGTGGCTGACACGGGTGCTTTGGTGTGTGGGGCAGGGCCATCTCTGCTCCGGGACATCGGTTTGTGTCCGGGGCAACTTCGGGCCCGTAATGGCCTGAGGGACGTGGCGAACAAACAGCTCAAGTGTCTGGGGTCCGCCCCCTCCTTGGCTGCCCGAACCTCATTCTGGTGAGGGACCACCACCCCTTAGTTGGCTTGCTAGGGGACAGAGCCCTCACGGATGTGGCAAATCCATGCCTGTTCAGGCTCAAGAAGACCCTGCAGCACCGGTTCACGGTCAAGTACTTGCCAGGGAAGCGCAACTGTGCAGCTGCACTGCAGTGTGTGCAGTCACAATTGCAGCACTGGATCAGGATGGGTGCATCACTATGGACGAAGACAGTGTGCAAAGCGGCTGCGGACTGCCCAGTATACCAGATTCTAGTGTCGAGGGTGTTGGCGCCCCCACAAGTCACAGGAGGTGGCCCGTCTGCGCCCGTACTTCTCGGTGAGGGACAGGTTGGCTGTGGTCAGGGGTTTGGTCACCTACAACTATGACCAGGGCTGAGTGGGCTTTGTCATCCCCGACTCCCTCCGCCACCGTGTCGCCGTTAACTTGCACGTGGGGCACCAGGGCCTCGACTCAATGCTCAGGCGGGCCCGGCAGTCTGTCTATTGGCCTGGCATGGAGGGTGACCTGCAGTATCATCGGTCCCGGTGTGATGCTTGTGAGACCCACGCCCCTTCCCAGCCTCCGGAGTCGTTGGTCTTGACCCCAGCGCCAGACTATCCCTTTCAACAAGAGGTGGCAGATTTGTTCCACCTGCAGGGCCACACGTACCTAGCATATGCTGACCGACTCACCGGTTGGCTGGAGATCGCCCACTTCCCTAACGAGGCCACCTCTGGAAAAATCATTGCTTGTCTGCGGGGTTACTTCACGAAGTGGGGGGCACCTGAGCAGATCTCCACGGATGGAGGTACCAACCTTGAGATGACAGATTTTGTCAAGTCATAGGGGGTCGAGGTGCGCCTCTCGGCCCACTTCCCCCAGTCCAACGGCAGGGCAGAGGCTGGGGTCAAGGCCGCCAAGAGGCTCATCAGGGAGAACACAGGGCCCAGGGGTAGCCTGGACTGCGATAAGACATCCCAGGCCCTCCTCCAGTACCTGAACACGCCTCTGGGGGTGTGTGTGTGCGAACAAGTCACCCGCCAGCTCCGTGACGGAGTTCCCGTGGCCAGACAGCACTATAAGGTGGACCAGCACTGGCAGCAGGCACTTCGTATGAGGGAGGTGCGCTTGGCCGAAACCCAGGACAGGGTCCTTCCATCGCAGGGGGTGTTCCGCTAGCTGGCTCCCCTAGCCGTGGGCCTGCGTGTGCAGGACGCAGCTACCAAGCTCTGGGACAGGACAGGCATAGTGGCAGAAGCCCACCCTCACAGGCAGTATGCCAGCAGGTTTATTGGCAGTGTCCCCATCTGCAACAGACGCCACCTGCTAAGCAGCGCCACGCCTGTGCTTACCACTCTGGTGGTGCATCAAGCTATGCCTCCTGCGGTGCCCTCCATACCCACACCACCCAGCCCCTCCCCAGTCAGGCGTGGCCAAGCCCCTGGGTTGGCTGGCTGACTACGTGGTGTAAAATTCGTTTAGTTTTTTTCTCCTGTGACTTTCTTGCATTATTGTTTTTTATAAATGCTTTGTTTTCCTTTTGTTAGTTCAAATGTGCATTGTCATTTCCTTTTAACAGGGGATGTGAGATTGTGCAATGGAGTGCCATAGTATTTCATGTTTTCCCATGTGTTGAGGTGGGAGCTTGTCTGTGGCAGCGCCCGGTTGCCAGTCACCATCTGTACTGTATACCAGGGTTTGTCTATTCACAGGCTTAACTGTATATCAAGTCTATAATGCTTACCCAGTTGTAAATTTGCTTATTTAACAATTATGTAATCTTGCTGTATTTTACAAATATTATAGTTGACTCCTACTCCAAAACTTTTAATGGTCTGCTTGTTTACACCCACCTGAAATCTTGGGGTGGGGTGTGTGTGTGGTGGGTCCAAATACAATAGACATCTCCCTAGTTACACTCAGCAGTGCAAGTTATTTTGTCCACAATTTAGCATTTCATTATAAACTTTTCCCTCTAACATATGACTTTTAAAATCCCAACAAAACCTGTTGATAGTTCCCATGCAATTTAGCTCCACTCCCTGAACATTGTTACCACTCCCTACTTACAGCCAAGTTAAAATAAAGCATTAAATGTTTATACAGTACTGTACAATATACAGTAACCAGGAGCCATTATCCAGCATTTGATTAAAGCTGGGAAGAGTACCACTTTCGACCCTCAAGCATATATTTGAACTCTCCGATGTCAAGACAAGATACGGAAAAAACAGTAGTGGTAGCAGCTCTAATCATAACTGCAAATAATTCCACCCTTTGAAGGAAAATAAATAATCAAAGTAAGGTTATAGAAACAGAAGTTTATTTGTTGCCAATTTCCTTTTAAAAGTTCGTAGCACACTGTTACAAAGTTTTTTTAGTATTTTATAGATGGAACTGTTATGGGATTTTTTGCCCGTTGTTAGGGCATTTTCAGTTTTTTATATAAAGTTTTACATTTTACCATTTATTTTGTTTGACTAAAAAACTGGCATGTCGGAACTGATCAACTAAAACCGGTTTCCTTACTATTCAATCACTCTTGGTTGACATTGTTCTGACCTGCCATGTCGAAGTGTTGCTTTATAATGAACATAAAGGTTACATTATAAGCAGCTTCAGTAGGTTACTTGTCTTAAGGATTTTTTATTATTTTACGATTTTTTTTAGTTTTTTTGTTTATATTAACACCTACTTGACAGACTGTTCACGTGGTTGTGGTCGAACCTAAACAATTATGCCTTATCTATTGGAGTCAAAACAGCGTGCAAACAATATTAACTGATGGCCTTTCATAATAAACCAATAGACCTTTAAAATAAAAATCAAGAATTAAATATAAAATGTATACTCCAATGACTGGGCACAAGTCAAAAACTAAATCAAGCAAAGTGGTGCAGTGAAAATGTTTGGGATGACGGACTGCATGCTAAGTTTACAGTTTACATGTCCTCTTTCTTCTGTGCTGCTACAGCCACAGCTACAACTTGCTGTTTGGCTTGGTGAGCCTGCAACACAGCCACAGCTTCTTCCACCTTTGCCTTCAAAGAATTACGATCCTCCAGCATGTGAAGAAGGTCTGAGTTGTCAATCTCCAGTAACATTCCAGTGATTTTCCCTGCAAGTTCTGGGTAAATTTCACGAATAAGTGGGAACAAGCGTTCTCCCAACATCTGCTTTTGTTCTTGAGGCATAGCAGAAGCCAACATTGATGGTGTAAGTGGCTCTTGACCTTGGATGTGCACTGCTGGTTGAGCAACAGGAGCCACAGCAGCAGCAGCAGCTGGGCCACCACCTGAAACAGCAGGTGGATTGCGCATGTTGTTTGTGTATTTGTAGTTGGATGCTCTAGCCGCATTAGAGAGAGCAGCAGGCGGTGGTACACCACCAGCACTTGGTGCAACAGGTCTAGCTGCCTGCAACAAGTTTGGAATTTGTTGTTGCTGTGCAGCTGCAGCAGCAGCAGCCATGGGACGGACACTGCGGGGACCTGGCTGCGCTTGACGAGGAGCAGATCTGAAAGGTGCTGCTTGCATGGGGAAAGCAGTAGTTGCCTGAGCACCTGCCCGTACCTGTGCAGCTGGTTGTGCAGGCCAACGTGGAGTGGCCCTGATCTGGGCCATTTGTGGTGTGTAAAACCTCTGAGCCTGAGGCATGGTTGGCATGAAATAACTGGTGCCACCTGGCTGGAACATTTGCCCCATCTGTTGCATGCGCATACCAGCAACACGCTGCATGTACTGGGAAGCAAGGTGTGCTTTGCGATCTTCACGACGTTGGGCTAGAGCAACATATAGCGGCTTGCTAACTAGGATTCGACCATTCATCTCTGTGACAGCACGTGTAGCTTCCTCTGGTGTTGAGAAGCAAACGAATCCAAAGCCCTTAGAACGTCCATCTTCTGTCATTACCTTGGCACTAGTGATGGTACCATAGTTGGAGAATTCCTTACGCAGCCTTTCATCATCTATGGTGTCGTCAAGGTTCTTGATGTATAAGTTGACTCCCTGGTATCTGTTCATGCGCTCGATTTTCATCATCTCGAACTTCTTTTTCAATTCAGCCTGTCGTTCACCTCTCTTCTGAGCCCTACCTACATATATTTGTTTGCCATTCATCTCTTTACCATTATATTCATCACAGGCTTTTTCAGCAGCTTCAGGTTCCTCAAAAGCAACAAAGCCAAATCCCTTTGACTTCCCATCCTCATTGCACATCACACGGTGACTGGTAATCTTGCCAAATGCCGAGAAGACTTCATAGAGCTTTTCATCATCTAAGTCATCGCCAAAGTTTTTCACGTACACATTAGTGAAACGCTTAGCTTTCTCTCCTAACTCCTTCTCACGCTCTGCCCTAGGGATGAACTTCCCTACATAGACCTTCTTGCCATTTAACAACATACCGTTCACTTTATGGATGGCATTTCTAGCTGCTTCTTCTGTCTCAAAATGCACAAAACCATATCCCTTTGAGTTCCCAGCTTCATCAGTGGCAACCTGGAAGAGAAGAGTTCACTTCTTAATGAAGGTATTGTTAATATATTACCAAGAGTAAAGAAAGAAATTGTGCACAGTATATGCTTTGTATCCAAATTGTTTTTAAGACAATACTATTGTACTACTCGGGGACTGTCCATAGGACTGATGTCCTGCGTTGTACAGTCTCGCTCAAGATTCTTCAAACACTGCTGGAGACAGCTGGCAACTCAATGCCGTTTGTTAACTCTAGTACGTAGTAAAAATTATGCACAGATGTAAAAGTGATCAGCGATTGGTTACTTAATTCCCTGTTGCTTAATTCAGTAGTTGGGCTTTGTCATTTTGAATCATATTGTATTACGTAAAATAGTAAACAAAAGGCCTCGAGTTGCCAGCTGTCTCCAGCAGTGTTTGAAGAATCTTGAACGAGACTGTACACATGAGCAGAGGATAATAGTGAGATAAAATTAATGTTAACCAGTGCAAAAAAGATGCCCTAGCATTAGAAATTAAAATTACAATAATAGATAAATCCACTTGAATGAGTAAATGGGGGAAGATATTACAATTTGAGTGCCTGGTTTCAATGAATATATGAGCTTGCTTTACACAATAGGTACTATAAAATTAAACTTTTACAACTTATATTTTCAAAAGAATGAAAAACTTTTTAGTCAAGCGTGACCCTTATCACATATACAGTATATTATGCCTCCAAAATGGCTGTGCCACATTTCAGACATATACAGTATATTATGCCTCCAAAATGGCTGTGCCACATTTCAGATTCATGGAATATTGTAGCTTGCTTCATCAAGTGAGCACTCCCAAGTCGGACCACATATGTAAAGAGAAAAAACATCCATAATACAAGTAAATAAATCATGAAAATTAAATTCACATATATAAACTTTAAAGATAAGGTGGTACATACATAGCTTGGGAAATGGTACAAAAGTGTATAATTCATAAGTGAATGACAAGACAGGAGCAGGACAAGATAGATGGGCAAGTAAGAAGTAATGGATAGGGCAGTGGACTTGCAGGAAGTAGCAGCGTAAAAAATGAGCAAGGCAATTAAAATTATGATGATGGATGTGCTACTGATGAGTGACATTAGGTAAGTATGTAAAACAGTCATACACAAATATCTGACCAAGCAAGAGATAATACCCAGTTCTAAGAATTCAGTAGCCAGCAGGTTGCCCAAACCCTGTTAAAGGAAACCATTATCAAAGGGTACACGTACATACTGGATACCTCACTAAAATTATTGCCCTTATGCAAGGGCTAGGTTATAGCATCCTGATCCTTCACGCCAGCTGGGGATCTCAAGACCCTTCACTTGCCATGAATGACAAGCACGCACCCCCCCCACCAGGCAGATTACCTTCTCTTGACTGGGGTCTACCCCAATCAGTCCAGTTCATGGCACAGTTGCCTCCACAAGAACATACCACTGCCTAGGTAGGTGTAGGTGTGTGTGTGTGTGGGTGGGGGAGGCACAGTTACAGGATGCTGCCATGCAGTACCATAGCCATGGGTGGTAGATTGGATTAACCTGCTTGCCAGTTCCCTGTAATTCAGCCTTTGTCACGGCTACACATGCTGAAGAACACATTGCAGGGTTCGTTTACCTCGTATATTGTTTGTATCTTATTACAAATGTAATTTCAAAGTTTCATGCCCATCATTCAGTGTTAGTAAAAGAAGAGTACCTTGTTCGAGTATTCATGGCATATGAATGCTCAAAAACCTCTCGAGTAAATGGGGAGAATTTGAAGGTCCATAAGGAGTCTGTCTTGAGCTCCCTTTTATTTCTCATGGCGATGGAAGCAGTATCACAGGACTTTGGGACTGGCCTAGCCTGGGAGTTATTGTATGCTGACAGCAATTCGTATTCAAGAGGCAGTGGAGAAAATAATGGGGAGACTCGAGGCTTGAGTGAATGTGGCAAACAAAAATAATTAGTTATACTGGTCAAAGACCTGTGGTGGAAAATTTGACAGTTAGCAGCAACTAATTAATGTGCAACAGGTATGAAAAGTGATAAGTAGATAAGACTACAGAGTTTTGTAAACATCGGTAAACCAAGGCTAGAGAAACTGAACACCAAGGATGTTTCTAGACTGTCTAAGTTCTGTTACAAGGATGATGTGCTCAGTACCAGTGGCCAGGCTGGTGGGGATATTGATGTCTGCTCTGTTGCATGACAAATGCTGAAAGTAATTGGGGAGTTGCTCTCTTTATTGGTGAGAAGAAGACTTTCACCTTTGTATGAAAAGAAGAATGCATGCAGTTGGTGAGAGAAGTGTAAGGTACGGCAATGAAACATGCTGTTGAAGAGGATGACATTAGCATATTTGAGCAAGCCAAAATGAAGGCGTGGAAATGTAATATAACATACTGGAGGTCATGTTCAGAGCTAAAAGGGTAACTGGGTATTGCTAGTACAGGGGTATTGGCAAAGATGCTTAGGGCAAGTGGAAATAAAGTACACAAACAACTAGGTCAAGGGCACGAGCCTAAATGTTGATGGAAGAGTGCCAAGAATTGGGAAAGATTCTAAGAAAAGACATTTGCCAAGAACCTGACGAGAGTGCAATTGACTGTAGCATGGTGAACTACCATCAGGTACTTGCAGCTAACCCATGCAAGCTCGGAAAATGGCTGCAGAACAACACTCCTTGTTATAGTCTTCCTCATCTGGCGAGAGGTATCTAAGAAGGAATTGATAACATGCGAGCCAGTGGTACCCACCCAGCCCACTTGCCATTATGAGGGCTACTACACATGAAAATAAAACATTGTATGGGGGAAGGGAAATTGCCAAAACATACTCTCCACTTGCTACCATGCAGGGACTGTGCAAGGAGAAATTGCAATACCACAGCAAATAGAAAATGCAGGACAAACTGTATATAATGTGTCTGCAATCAACAAGTTACAATGCACCAAAGTATCAAGCACTATATCATGGCTGTTTTAACAAGTATAATTATTCTGCTTTGCACTATTACCTATAAAAGCATAATGGGTTAATTAAAAGGAAATAAGGCATTATAGTGAAAAGACTGAATAGAGGAAATAAAACATTTGTAAAAACCACCAACTTCGTTTCTGCAAAACTAGCCAACATTTATTTGTAGATGAACATTTCTACCATACTGTAAAGGCAATTGACAACCACCTGCAGGGCCAATAATTCATCCTGCCACTACCAAAATAAAGCAACAAAATGTACGGCTGTACTACCCAAGTAAGTGAGAGAAGAGAGAAGAGAGGAGGAGGAGGAGGAGAGAGAGAGGGAGAGAGAGAGAGGAAGAGAGAGGAAGAGAGGAGAAGAGAGAGAGAGAGAAGAGAGAGGAGAAGAGAGAGAGGAGAAGAGAGAGAGGAGAAGAGAGAGAGGAGAAGAGAGAGAGAGAAGAGAGAGAGGAGAAGAGAGAGGAGGAAGAAGAGAGAGGAGAAGAGAGAGAGAGAGAGAGAAGAGAGAGAGGAGAAGAGAGGAGAAGAGAGAGAGAGAGAGGAGAGAGAGAGAGAAGAGAGAGAGAGAGAGAAGAGAGAGAGAGAAGAGAGAGCGCAGAGAGAGAAGAGAGAGAGAGAGAAGAGAGAGAGAGAGAAGAGAGAGCTTAGAGAGAGAGAAGAGAGAGAGAGAGAAGAGAGAGAGAGAGAAGAGAGAGAGAGAGAGTAGGCAAGAGAAGAGAAGAAGAGAAGAGAAGAGAAGAGAGAGAGAGAGAGGAGAGAGAGAGAGAGGAGAAGAGAGAGAGGAGAAGAGAGAGAGAGAGGAGAAGAGAGAAGAGGAAGAGAGGAAGAGGAAGAGAGGAAGAGGAAGAGAGAGAGGAAGAGAGAGGCAAGAGGAAGAGAGAGGAAGAGAGAGAGAAGAGAGAGGAGGAGAGAGAGGAGAGAGAAAGAGGAGAAGAGAGAGAGAGGAGAAGAGAGAGAGGAGAGAAAGAGGAGAAGAGAGAGAGAGAGAGAAAGAGGAGAAGAGAGAGAGGAGAAAGAGAGAAAGAGGAGGAAGCAGAGAGAGAGGAGAAGAGAGAGAGAGAGGAGGAGAGAGAGCTTAGGAGAGAGGAGAAAAAGAGAGAAGTGGGAGAGAGAAGAGAGAGAGGAGAGAGAGAGAGAGAGAAAAGAGAGAGAGGAGGAGAGAGAGCTTGTGAGAGAGGAGAAAAGAGAGAAGTGAGAGAGAAGAGAGAGAGGAGAGAGGAGAAAAGAGAGAGGAGAAAAGAGAGGAGAAAAGAGAGAAGTGAGAGAGAGAGAGAGAGAGAGAAGAGAGAGGAGAGAGAGAGAGAGAGAGAGAGAGAGGAGGAGAGAGAGAGAGAGAGGAGGAAAGAGAGAGAGAGAGAGAGAGAGAGAAGAGAGGAGAAGAGAGAGAGAGAGAGAGAGGAGAGAGAGAGAGAAGGAGGAGGGAAAGGAGAGGAGGAGGGGAGGAGGAGGAGGGAGGGAGGAGGGGAGGGAGGGAGAGGAGGAGGAGGGAGGGGAGAGGAGGGAGGGGAGGTGGAGGAGAGGGAGGGGAGAGGAGGGAGGAGGGAGGGGAGGGAGAGGAGAGAGAGAGAGAGATAATATTCAGTGAAATCAAAATACAGTACAGTACAGTAATCTCCAATTACATCTGCTTTGCAGTTTCAAAGTCTGATGGACACTGATTAATGAGCTGGAGCTTATAAAATGCAAATTCACAAATACAGTAATGAAAAAAAAAAGGGTCGGGTACAGTACAATTCTTTACCGTTGTTTATTGAATTAAAATAGTTTTACCAGTCGAATGTTTCCAACTTTGCATGTCTAGAAACCTCAGGCAATAAAATCAAGAAACTATCACAGATGCACACACTATAGTAAAGGGTGACAATCCAAATTCTCAACAGTTGCACTGGGAGGGATGCTCGGCCAAAAATTAGATGTAGCAGTAGTAAAACTAAAAATCCACTGCATGAGCAAAAAGAGATGTGTGGTGTGCACATGAAACGTAGCAGTTGCTCAGAGTCCAAAACAGTCACGTCTCCACATGGGTAAACTGTATAGGGACTCTTACCCAGTTGTTTGAACTCCCTGCCTGTCAAGTGGATAAGTCCTATATTCACTTGTACAGTACTGTTAATACAAATCTCTGCTACTGGACAGATCTCTCACTGGGCATTTGGATGGGTTTGCTAGTGTCACTGATCCCCAACATTTAACATCCCACAATCTAAAGGTGGCAGCACACTGGGCACTTTTCCACCCAATATGTTTGGCAAACAGTCTGGCCAGCATTACAAAGACGTTTACGTCACACTGGGGCGTTTTGTTGGCTCATCTATCCAAGGCAACGAAAACAAAGCATCTAGACGAGGTTCACCATGGGTCCCGTTAATACAGTTGAGGCCTTGCAGGATTGTGCTATAGTTCTTCAACTGCTGAAGAAAGTGAGGCATCTGCAAAAGCTAAAGAAAAGACAAAGGGTGCATCGTTTAGTTTCTTTATAAGTGGCGGCGGCTGGCTGGTCAAAGAAGACCCTGAATAATGATTTAATACCACAGTACTAAAGTTTTAAAGCGACAAAAAGAGAAACGTGTCAACGTTTTAGGGGAGTTCTATTTTAAATTATTATGGCTTCATGATTTATTTAAATTTTTACTTTAAGATTCAGCACCTAATATGAAGCTCATTTGAGCACTAACCCATCCGGCAAACCTCGGCGCCAAACTGATGTTCATTTCTCAACAGCCGAAATCCTGCTGCTTGCTGGGCCATTAGGCCAGCAAACAGCAAAGCGGGTAACACATTTGGAGGAAAGTGCCCAGTGCGCCGCCGCCTTCACAAGTGTTAGAACATATTTATACAAGATAAGGTTCAGTAGGTGGCAATGCATGCTCTTTGGTGCATATTTCCAGCCTTTCAAATTTGCCTCCCTTGACACCAATCACCAAATAAAACTAAACTGTAATACATTTAAGCAGCCTAGTTTCCTCTTCTTCAAATTCCTCATTGTATGAGAGGAATGACATGTTAAAATTTTAAATCCATTATTATGCAAATACAACATTCATAAGAGGGAGGCTTTACTTGGGAAAATTTAATATATTTGAAGAATTCAAGAGTAAAAAAAGGGGGAGGGCAAGGGTGACAGCAGCAGCACAGTACCTTAAAACATATCCTTTCATTCACCCCCCCCCCCACACACAAAAAAAAAAAAAACCATCACTTCTCCCACTTCAAATTTTTTTGTTAGTTTCACAAGATGAAAATTTCATTCGTATGAACACACAAAACTTTAAATTAGAGTATCCGATATCCATTACATACATTATACTGGTGCATAAACAAGTTTAAAATCTTGTCATGTAATCCAAAAACTCTATAAAAAGAAATCTACAAAATTCTAATAATCTAAACATGGCATTCATTGCATAATCCTGTTAAAACTTAGGTAAGACAGCAGAATGTGTGTAGATGCATGGCCAGCTGCAAATCATCCCCTACATATGCAGTGGGTGGGAAAAATATAAGCACTATTTATGGTACATGATCAACCTGCAATACTGATCATGTCACTAAACTGTACATTCAAAGAGGGAGTTTATACTGACAAGCTGCATCTAATGTCAGAATAACCCACATGCCTTGATATTACGCCCATGAATTCATGTATATTATCTACTCGATTGATTTTCACATGTGATACAAACCTTGCAACTAAGAATATTTCCAAAGGCTGAGAAGGTGTCATACATAGCCTTGTTGTCAATAGACTTGTCCAAGTTCTTGATGAAGACGTTGCCAACACCAGATTTTCGAAGGGAAGGATCACGCCAGACCACATAATGCGGATCGGTCGACCCTTCATTACATCAAAATTCATTGTGTCAAGTGCACGTTCTGCATCTGCCGGTTGCTGGAAGTTGACATATGCATAACCCAATGAACGGCGAGTGATCATATCTCTGCACACACGGATGGACAACACAGGACCAGCAGAGGAGAACTGCAAACATAAATCAAGGTCTCAATAGAATAAAATGAAAAACAGCAGTAAAGAATTATAACAATTAGTAGGTAGTAGGCAGCTACAGAACAGGGAGGTACTACCGCCTGGGAAGATATTGGCAGCATAGTGTTGTCTAATAGACCCTGCTGCCATATGGCATCACGAAAATTGTGACCAAGTTCCAGGTTGCTGATCTGACTTTCTGCCTCATTTACACAATTTTAGGGTCTCAATTGTTTCTATTACATGACAAAACAACATATATAGCATTTCTCACTGTTGATTTTTTTTCATTCTTGCATTTCTTTGTATTTATTATTATCACTTATTATTATTACCATTAAAATTTTATTTTACTTTTTATTATAAATTTTATTTACTATGAATTATTATTATTAAATTCCCCCCCGTCCTGATGTGGGCCAGTGACCTGTGCCCGGGTGGGCTAATCCCCATGTGCGTGCGTGTGTGTGTGTGTAAAAAAAAAAAAAAAAACTAGAGAACATTGTGCAAAAAAACGTCGATTTGTTTAAGACATGTAGCTACTGTTCTTCGCACTACATTACCGTAAATCCAAACAAGTGCCAACACCTACGGCCCACATAAATCCACTGCTAAACAATTACACTAAGGTTCAAGATCAAGTCTGCTAGTACAACACCTAACAGCAGTCAGTTACACAATGGTAGCGGCAGGTAGGCATTATGGTTAGGCCTTACTGGCCTACTTGTTCATGTGTGCTAACAAGGCGAATTTTTTTCTAAATTTCAGGCTGGCTGGTTGCGGGATTAGGTGGGCCGCATTTGGCCCTAGAACCGCATGTTGGACACCCACGTTAAACATAATAAAAGGGGTCCTAGCTATACGTGTAAGGATTTACATCTCGCATGTCACTAAAATTCAGTATAGGAATAAATTTTCATTATACTTCATGTCAAACGTTTCACATTTATGCCATCTGCATCACCCACTATTTATACCATGTTTGTGTACCTGAATATAATGTAAAAAAATCATTCAAGTCTCGCACGACTGCACTAATGACATTAAGTACAGGTAAGTAATTACAGAATTTTTTGGATAGTGTTCAATATGCTAGTGTGCCTTATAAATAAAGAAATATTGTACAGTAGGCTGAACTTTCAAGGGTGTTACTATACATTACTACATTAAATCTTATGGGGAAAAACTCAGTTTCAAAAAGTCGCATTTCTCTGGAACATCTGCAACATAATATAGACTTCTGTATATACTTGCATTGGACAAAATTTATTATGTTATTTGCTTACTTCATAAAAACTTTGGGTGTTCTGATAATTCATAAATGAGAAGTGCATTATTTCAAACTGTACTACAGTGCATTACCGTTCGAAACTTTACCCGATAGACCATCCATTTAAGCGTACCTCCACTTAAGCCATTTTATTGTTCCAATGTCTTCAAAACTATCTTGGCTACAACATTTACAAAAAGTTATATTAGTAAATAGGACAAATTTTGTGACGAGAAGTACCGGTATGGCCAGCATAAGAACAGAACCAGACAATGCGATGTAGTCGTGGCCAGAATTAGGCTAGGATACAGACATCTGGCAAGTTAGTAACACTGTACCCATACCAGAACACTCAGCATGTAAACTTTGTGCTAAACCTTTAAAGCACACAGTTGAACACTATATTATTGAATGTGACACTGTCAAAGACTTCAGGCCACCTGGCTTATTGTATCTTGAACTTTGTAATTACTACATTGAATCGGAGGTGTTTGAGGACATTCTTGCTGTTTATCCCAAATTTGGTAACCCGGTAGCCCACACCGATTAGTCTTCAATTAGAATATGACGTCCAATGTATATGAACCACTGTCCTGCGTGGCAGTGAAATCACCCACACGACTGACCTATATATACTGTTAATGAATAAGATCTACTTTTGTGTATGAGCCTCTGTTGTGTGGCAGTGAGAAGTGATACCACCCTCAGTGTCAAGACCTGACTGAATTACTCAGAATAGGCAAACTGTACTCCAAACTTTGTCAATAAATTTGTTAAACTAAAAACTAAAATTGGCTACAACATTTACAAAAAGTTATATTAGACTTATTACACTGCCCCTTTTTTATATCCAAGGCATGTCACATTCCATCCCGTTTACAGTACTGTGGTTCAAAATTTAGAATACATGTACTTTTTTTTAAATCATCCTAATTTACCAACTATTTGATTAAAGTTGCCAAATAAGAGTCCTGAACATACAGCTAACTAGTCATCATTATTCTCTGCAAAGACTAATCTAATTCAACTTTCTTTACACCAGGCCCTAACACCTGAACAGCAGCAGTTAATAATGCCCTATCCCAATAACCAACACATACTTCATGAGTACACGTACAGTAGAGTATTCCCTTAAAGCTAGTTGGGGTTAGGTAAAATGGACCCCATGAGAAAGTAAAATATGCCAGTCCCAGGAGTGTGCAAAATACATTTATAAATAGCTATATGCACAAGTAAAACAACATTATGTATGCACAAGACAATATAATAAACAAGAAATAAATAAACAATATGAAATAACACTATGGACATCAGGTCCACAGTGATAGTTGTGGTAGTGACAATGCAAAGACAATACAGTACCGCTGAAATGTTGTATCTGGTGCACAGGTTGTAAACAATCCCTGTACTGGACAGTTCCTATTGAACATGCCTGGTACCAATAAGTATTTGTAATGTGTATACCATGGGTACTTATATGCATAATTACAGTTGGCCCCCCAAATTTGCGGGGGGTTAGGTTCTCAAAATTACCGCGAATCGCCAAATCCGTGAATAACATTTGCTGACGACACCCCCACCCATTTTTAATTGTGTACAAAGAAATGTATACTGTATTCCCTTTACGTGTTTGCCCTTGTGGAATTACTTCCTTTACCTGTATTGTACGAGTGTGTAGACACAGAAATAAATAATAATGGGAAGATCCTCGCACAAATAATCGGAAACAAATATATATTAACAATGTTGAGTCTAACCTCAAGTCAACTCCGTGCTTTCTTATTAATAAAGCACGGAGTAGACTTGAGGGTTGGCCCCTCAATTTTTATATACATTTGTTTCTGATTATTTATGAGGAGTGTGTGCAGACACGCGCAATTCAGGTAAAGGAAATTACTCTCTAGAGCGGATGTCTCCCCGTCCCGGCCACATAAATGACGGCAAGTTTAAAACTACCCGCAGACATTCTTGGTTACATCCAGGGTATTACCCTCGAATATGAGAGAACCGCGAAATAAAGATCTGCGAATTAAACGGGCGTACTGTATATCCTTTCGTATTAAATTAGGTAAATTGTATTAATACCAACAAATTTTTGATAATACAGTAGGTCCATAAAGTGATAATGAGCTAAGGTAGTGAGAAACATGATTGCATATAGCCAATGATTTGGCTTTGCCAGTAGGTACTGTAGGCTATTAAATCTGCAAAAAGTAATTTTCCAAAATACACCTTGCTAGTTATAGGGTGCATCTTATGACCTGGGAAATATGGTACTCTGTACTGTATCGTCCTGTAATGTTGATCCCTGGCACACAGCCTCAGATTTATTTTATTTTCCATGGCAATCCTCGAGTTTCTGAGAGACGCAAGCTTTAAAACCGTGAGCTTTAGGGAATACTTTACAATAATTTACACGTTAAAGTATTTGGACAAATTTTATACTGTACAGCTACAGTACCTATTTGTCAAAATTACCCAGCAACATAACTATTCACTCCAGATGAACATCTTTTAAGTAAAAGTTTCTCTTAGATCCTAGTTCAGATGTGCCGCCCCAAATTAACCTCTTCAGCTAAAGTGATATGTTCAATAGTTCCAGGTCCATTTACTTATACGACAGATTAATGATCACTAGACAAACTTGCTTCACGTTAACAATGAAACTCGTGTTGTAACATGTTTCTCACCTTCTCAAACAACATTGCCTCTGTGCAGTCAGCATGGAGGTCCCCAACATAGAGGGAGGCTAGAGGATAGCTAGGGCCACTGGGATTCATCTTGCAGCCAAGTCACACCTGGAATAAAAGCCCAAAGATTTGACCATTAAATAGCAATAATTTTTTTTAAGGCAATAAACATTCTAAATGAGTACACAAAGAAAGAAATAAATAAAATAAATAAAAATAAATAAATACTTGCCAAAAATCTTTAACAGTTCATCTAAAAGATTTTACAATTATAAATTTAACATTTTATAAAGCTTATGCAACAAGCAATTCTTCAGATTATGCAATCAAAGCAGCATGGACATGAAAATTGTATGGAAAACTATCATGCCCCAATCACTATTTAATTAACCACATTTTCTCTCAAAATTCTTATGGCTTTTTCACCACTAAAATGAAAGTTTGAATGATGGGCAATCCTAAAACAATCAATACCAAAATTAACGAGGCAATCATTGAGAAATTAAAACTCGAGACCTTTGTAATTGCTCTACTCTCTCCACCCTTATTTTTTTTTATATAAAAAATAGCTAAATAAAATATTAAGAGTTCTATAAATGAAGGGGTTAACAGCAAAAATAACACTATGAAGCGCAAATCATCCACCAGATTTTGGATATTTGAGGGAAGATACAATTTTTCCCCCCACTATTTAAAGATGCTTTAGGAAGCTGGTTAACCACTTACACTGGCCATTTCTTAACCTATTGCCAGTATTTCAAGTACCCTCACTTTAAGACATCATACACCTTCACAATTGACTAGGATGATATTTACTTGGGACATCTGAAATCTAATGTGGCAGACCAAGGATAAAGTCATTCAAGAGTTCTCTCGAGTGCATTGTTTTGGTAGGCAAGATATTATATTCTATACACTACAGGTTTTCGATGCACAGCACTGCCACTGATAAAGGTTATTTGACCTTTCAAGGAACAAATGGTTTTAGTGTTTCACGACCAACCTCTTTTTGGGGGTTCTTATGCTGCTGATCTGTCACACCCCACACTAATTCTGAATGTACAGGTATAATCAAGTGAGGAGTCTCGATACTTTATATGCCCGAAGCATATAAGGCTTAAATGGGAGGGGGTCTGAATACTGTATCACTTAACACCTGTACCAGGCACACAAAATGACGACAGGAGGTAGTAATGATTTGTAACCAAGGGACAAATGTGTAACCGTCATGATCCCAGTATCGCACACATTTGACACATACAGTACCTGGTTCACCAACAAAGCCCTCACTTCAGCCCAAACGTGTACGTAATTTTAATCATAAATCTATCAAATCCACATTGTTTTAGGGATACTGTATTAATCTATTTCATCATCTTGGGAGACAAAGGAATCTTAATTCCAAGGCAAATCAGATGGGAAATATCTATGCCGATTAACTAACCCCAATAATTCCAATCCACAGATAAGGCTAAGTCCCACTGAGCCTATCAGTGGGAGACAGGAACTAGCAATGCACTTGTAAGCTATCTCCCCAGAAAATATTTATCGTACACCTATTCAAATGGCATCAGTACTGTACAGGATTCCCCAGCAGTACTGTATGCAATGCCAAACATCAGTACAGTAGACCCTTTACAATCACAGGTTTGCGATTCCCGAATTCAACGCTCCGCGGTAAGCACATGATAGCTATGGTGGCTAGATTGCGAGCCTTTTCCTGCAGCGCAAAGAAACGCCACATGCATCCTCAGTGTCTCCTCTCCCTCTGTTTGCATTCAACCAATGCCTGTGCCACAGCATCTTGTGTTATACAGTAAGATCTCTCATTTCTCGTGATTTCAGTTTGCGAGCACTACCTAATGTAACGCACTACCTAATGTAACCAAGTCTTATATTTGGCTTAAAATATCATGTTTCACGAGATCCAGCCAGCCGAATGCTGGTCACCACCTTGAATGAGGTCACTGCCCTCATACCAGTTAGTCATTTCTGCTACAACACATTTTGTCAATGGGAATTGGTTATAACGCGACTGATGAATAGGGGAAGTTTGTTTGTAAAATGCTAACTATTGCATACAAATGATGGCTATAGCACAATTCCATCCTAAACATTTTAAGCGTGGCACGGGGTTATACAATGTTTACAGTTCACGTTCGATATCACATGTTCAATTGATTCGTGTCTTTTGTTTGTGAAGTGTTTTTTTGAATTTTTTGCAAAATTAGCTGTTACCCATAAATACTGTATGAAAAGAATGAGTAAAAAGAATGTTTCGCAGTGAGGACTAACAATGGTTTACACCAGCGCTCTGTTTACATCACATGATCAGTTGAATAATGCGGTTTCTGTCAATTACTCCGAGATTTTTGCTATTTTCTCAAATTTTGTTGTCAGCGATGAATATGGAAAGACAAGGTAAGAAGGTTTCCAAAAAGCATTCTGGTGATCAAATTGCTGGTGGTGAACGTATAGGAGGTTCATAAGAATGCATCTATTGCGTTGTAGCCCGCACCATCCTAGCGACCAACCGGGCTGCTGTTGTGTGCTCTATTGGGTGGTGCTACCACCCGAGTCAAAATAATGGCCTCTACTGGGGGTCCTACCGGTGCTGGTGGGACAGACCCACCTAAGCAGTCAAATAAGGAAAAGGAGAAGTGGGACTATCATAAGGGAGTTAAGTTTGCCAAGTACTTGATGCAGGATAAGCAGCGTGTGATTAAATTACTTGGAGGGCCTAAAAACTAGTTTCCGGAAAATACAATCAGGTCAATAAAGGCAGAATTTGTATCATTTGGAGGTTATAAATGGGAAAATCAGAGGATGATGTAGAGTGGCCAATCTAGTTATTTTTTCCATTGGTTTGTGTATTTGCATTTGGCACAATTTTTTCCAGTCTATAATACTCGCAAAATACAAGATCTTACTGTACTTAACAAACTTTTAGTGTTTGTGTGAAATGACCCTGAAAGACTGCCTGGTGTCAGTGCTAGAGATGCTTGTGGAGTGAAATGTTAAAGATAGAAGTTAGTGTTGACCCTGACAAAAAGTTCATTACAGTACAGGGTATTAGAAGAGTTAAGAAGGGAAGTGCTGCCTCGACAGTCAGTTATTTGGTATAGGTATACAGTAGTGCATTAAGTACTGTACAAGTTGCTATTCACGGTTTTGCCTATTTGCGCCATTCCTTGGCACCTAAGCCCCGCAAATAACTGTTTACAGCACTAGTATACTGTAGTAAAACCCCTAGACTCCAAATACATTTTCTGTGTCATTCTATTACAACCACCATAATTATAGCCTACCCCCCAAACTCACTGGGGGAACTAGACTTTACCAGCATTCACTTAGCCAGTAGCCTAATTATCCTATTTCTCCTCATTTACTATTTTACTGTACACGTGAAAAAATAACCAAGTACAATAATTTATTCCGAATTCTTAAGGAACAAAGTGGCTAAATTCCACAAGCCAATTATGTAAGGTAATGGTGTAGACCAGTGGTGCCCAACCTGGGGCTATGGTGTATTTCTTTAGGGCCATGGGGTAAATTGAATATGGTGGTTTCATTATAAAATGAAGTAATGCTTGACCTTCAAAACAGAGTGCCAGATTTCAAACCATACGAGCTAATGTTGCCAATCAACAACCAAATCAAAATAAAACTTGAAAGGTATAGCAGTACCCTGTATGTATACAGGTACTGTACAACCATCAACGTTGAAGCTGAACCTTGATACACATGTACAACAAGCAAAGGAGGATCCTGAATTTTTCAAGCTGCATTAAGAATTTTAAGCAATATAAGACAGAAGGGAGGGGCCTTTCAACACCAAAATGAAGAAACAGTAGTGGCATATATAGTTTCTCTGGGGGGAGATACTTAGATGGGGAGAATCAAAGCCACGCACCCTCATTGTCGAATGGGTTCTAAGCAAGGCCGAGGCTTGCAAAGTTCAACGGGTGCCCTTGTCGAGTAACCTCGCAGCGTCGCCTTTCAGTTTATGTGCTTTGCAAATTTATAAATTGACATTATAATTCCTGCTCCCAGCTATTGGCATTCATTTGTTATGTCCATGGATGACATCAGGAAGAATTCTTGTTCTGCACTGCCCTGGAAATGACAAATCCTGAAGATATTGTGGAAAAAGTTAAGTGGTTCCTTGATGCAGAAGGAATTCAGTGGGAGAATGTACTGTACAGTGTGCGGTTGTCTGTTACAGTATGTGGTTGTATGTACAGTCCGCAAAAAATTATTCTGCACCCATGGGTGCGAGACCGACGCCATGTATTGGTTAGGTTGGTATCTGTACCATTCATTGTAAAACTAATGTGCTGTTCCTCAGATAATGTGTAGTAACCACAAATTATCAGGAATACATAAAACCCACAGCACTTAAACCAGATAATGTCAAAGCATTATATACTATACGGTAGTACTACGTTTAGTAACCCACATACGGTAGGAATGGCAGGCACTCTTAGAAACTGAAGTGCTGTATAAGAATTTTGCATTCTAGGAGATACAGCAAAATCGTGTAAATACTCATAATTATAACCACTATCCGAGAAAGTGATAAGTGGCATAATACAAGACAACCCAAAAAAAAAAAAAACATTTGTAGGAGAGATATACAATATTACACAGAAGTAACAGTGACAAAGCTAGTGGAAAGAAGCGAGTTAAGAAAAGGGGTTAACTGGTAGTGAAATTCACAAAGCAAAAACATTGTCAGTGTTATTTAACAGTGTAGCAAAGAATTTTGCCACAGGAAGTGTGATCGTTTAAAAGGAAGTAATGAATCTGTTAGAAACAGAGCAGTTTTGATTTGCTAAGGGCAGACCATCAGAGCAAACAGCAGGAGTTGCAATGGCATTTGCTTTTGATATTAATTCGACTACAGCCGAGTCTGGATTTACGCGTTTGGTCATTTACGCAGTGCCTCGCCAGAATTGAAATGCTTTAATTACGTGGGAAACGGCGCGAGCAGGGTGCGCATAAGGTTGCACAGTCATCAAAACACTACCGAGTTCTCCCGCCACCCAACCACAGCCGGCCCAAGTCAGTGATAGTGAGGATATGGACTTCGAGGGGTTTGACAAAGA